AGCGATGCTGATACAACCTGATTGCAGTCAAGAATAGCCTCTGGTTAAAAGTAATGAAATACCTTAACATAGTCCAGTACATTTTCATTAGGAGAAATAGAATTTGAGGGTGAGATTATGAGAATATTAATAATTGTTCACCCTTTCTGTTTTTGCTTGTAGGTTTCCTCACATTTTATGCTTGTTCATATTCATAATTCTAAATGTACCACTACTTGGAAAACTTCAGGCTTTTTGCCTTTCTGTACTTCATAATTCCAGTTGCTGTGGTTTGCTTTAGATCCTGGTTAATAATTCAGAGTAATTTTTCTGAGTGAGAGCAGATGCCTTTGTCGTTGCATAAACTACTGCCTACCATGAAATGTTTTAAGAATTAGAAGACGAACTGTAATTGTGACTGAATAAATGATATCCAGTCATGGCTACTGGTAAAAAGTTTAAAGAATAAAATAAGCTTAAAGCTGCTCTTAATTGATTATTTCATCACTATGGTCTATCCTAGACTGTTCAGGCTGACTTTACTCAGGCTTCTCTCACAACTAGGTATAAGCAGGATACCAGTTACTGAAATTACTAATTGTGAGAAGTCAGTATTAATGAGCCTTTTCAGGTTTGCAGATAAACAAGAGGCTTGTTAAAGCTTCTGCTCTGAGATTCTATGAGTTACTCATCCTCGTGAAGTCGGCCAGTCAGTATCATTTCAGATTGTGTAGACCAGAGCTCCTGTAGCTCCTAAGGGAGCTCCACACTGTCTGACATCATGTTTGTTTGGGCCAGTCAGGGTCACTTGCAAGTTACTCCTTGTGTGTCTTCTGCTCAACAGCAACAACAGACTGCATTTGTCATAAATATAAATAGTGCAAATGTGCCATATGGCTTTTGATCCTACAAGATCTGAAAGTATCATGTTCTTTTGCAACAGAATTCAAAGATTATTTTTTCATACATTACCATGGTAACAAAGTGGTAACTAGGTCCCTATGTTCATTTTACATTAATAAAAGGCTAAACATAAGCAGTAGGAACTATGTCCTGTTGAGCCTTGATTATGTATAATAAAAGATGTTGTGTTTCTGTTTAAAAAAAAGGCTTGAAATTAATCTTTTGTTTTAATTCTTGGATCACTGTAGCTTTTATGCCTGCCTGTCTGTCTATCAGTATAGCTAAAGGCAAAATCTATTAAGAACATCAGTTTAAAAGCAAGGAAAAGTAAAGATTCCCTGTGATCTACAAGGTTCCTATATATAGACCTCAGTGTTCAGATTTTGATGGGTATTTAGGATTCTCCAGTACCTGCCTCTAAATCTGTTAAGCTGCACATTGCATAACTTATGGTGCTTACAGAAAGGTGTAAAGAAGGCAGAAGTATTAATAGCAGCAACTCTGTTCCTCCAGGGTAAAGGAGTAAAAGAGGTGATAACTATTGATTACTCCATTAGCCAGGGAATTGCTTTAACCATTTGAAAGATCTCAGGTCCTCCAGGCTGAGGGAATGAGAACAGATGCAGGAGGAAAATGGGACTCAGTAAGATTTAATCAAGGGCAATAAAGTTCTGGCTGGGATGAAAATGCTACACCTGAGGTAAGAGTCACCCTGAATATGTGCAGGGTGTTTTCAGTAGATCATGGTTTGCTCTGACTGCCATGTTCTGGAGTAGGGGAGCAGTTCCTATCACAAAGGAGTAGCATACCATAAAATACAGAGCTCCTGGATCAGGGTGCCTAAGGATTCTTAAAGAGTGGAACGTTTCATGTTACTGAGTGACAGTATCTTGACATCGTAGGACAGAATATAAATAAAAGGCAAATAAAGGTAACTGGCAAGAAATTTTCTAGAAAAATTGTTTTTCCTTGAAAATATTAATTTGTGTAATTTACCTATTTCCATTCAGTCTTCATGAGAAATGATTCTTCATGCTGGGGTTTCTAGTGCAACCATGAGGGACAGGGAAAGCATCAGCTTTCATTAGCTCTTTAGTCACTTAGAGAATTTAGTGGGAAAACTTAGGAAGACTAAATTAAGAAACTGCTGTGTACAGTGACACCAGTGACAGTAAAGGGCAGTTCTGGTTCTTTCTGTTCTGCAACAGAAATCTTAATTTGATCTTAAAGTAGAATGGGAGCTGTTTGAAATTTCACAGTGTTACAGAGCAAGATAATGTTTGCATCAGCTGCTCTAAATACAAGGCATCTCATGGCTATTTTACATGTGGGAATCAGTGTGTAAATTAAAATGGAGAAGTGTTAAGCAGTGTGTTAAGGATACAGAGTCTGTATATAGTTTTTAACTGGAACATGAATTTCATTTGAAAGTCAGGCAGCAGCTTAGACAGAATACTCAATTCAGAGTGCAGGGAACATGCAAATATTTTTTATGTATTTCTCATATACATGCCATATATGAAAGAATGCAATTTGGTCACAGGAGGACAGAAGATTCTAAATGAAGACAGATTCAGAATCTAAAACTAGTCCATTACACTTCTCTGGAATAACAGACATGTTGACAGCAATATGAAAGTTAATTCTAGGCAAATTGTCCAAAAGTAGATTACCAAAGCAGAAAAATAAAAAACAGATAACTGCATCTGTTTTTGGACCTGCTATGAGACTTCAGTCATCCTTGCTAGATAAGACCGTAGAATATCCATGTATTTAAAATAAACCGCAGTGTATTAATAATACCGAGAATCACTGACAAGGAGCTCAGCAGGTAATCTGGTTAACTTTCCACTCAAAACAGGGATTACCACCATATTTTTTGTAACTTGTATTTTTTTCTGATTCATCAATGATTGTTAAACTCCCAGTAACCTTAGTTTGACCACCAAAAAACACTGAAGAAATGGTAAATTAGTGGTATTCATCTAATATGCAAGCTTCTTCCCAGCTCCTAAGAATATAATAGCTGTTATTTGCTGGTTTTCTTTTCCCTGGTGTTGTGTGAGAAAGATACTGCTCCTGTCGATAGACAGTGGGAGTGAACCATTCCTCAGGAGAGAGCATGCAGATCAAACATCTGATGCCTGAGCTGTTAGTAATGCTCCCAGGAGCTCATGGGCTTGCTGGGATCCCTGTGCTTCTGCAGAGTTATCAGAAGGGACTGAAGATCTTTGAGGATGCTGCTGCATCTCCAGGGGTCAGATATTCCATATGGAGTCCATTCGGCATATATAAGTATGCAGCACTTTCAATGCTTCAGTTGTGCCCTCCCTGAAATGCAATAGTAATTATTCTAGTGAACCCACTTCTGCAAATACGAATGTCTCAGAAATGAAGTGCCAAGTAAGAAGGATTTTACTTTTAAATTTTGAGATGAAAAGAGAATTGAAAATAGACAAATGAAGGAATGAGTGTCTCATCTATCAAAACATATTCTTGATGTAGACTTCTGATTGTAGTTTCTCAGGTCTTTGCCATAGACCCTCAGGGTGCTTATGAAGAGAGAGAGGTGCTTGTGATGAACACATAGAACTACTGAAGAGTGGAATTTGGTTTGAGATTGACAGCTACATTTTAGGACTTAATTCCATTGCTTAAGCACAGGAAACTAGCAGTAACTGAAGTACCCAATGCTACTGTCCTTTTCTCTTTGCTGCAGTTCCAAAAGGATGTGGGTTTCCATATGTCCTTCATTTTTTTGCAACTTTCCCTTTGATGTGAGATAACCCAGGCACCTGCCACAAAAAGTCCTGCATATAGCTCAGTGCTACCAACTGCTAGTGTGTAGGCAGCTGAATAGTTCTCTTGCTTCTATCACTGATAAGATCTCTGACTTTAATAGCTTATGCATGTGGAACAACTTGGAGACAATTATATTAATCTCACAAAGGATCTCACACAAAATGATTCATCAGGTTGAAATCCAATGTTTGGATAATGGGCTTCAAAAAATGGATGAAATAGACTGATCTGAATGGATTCCTGAGTCACTGCTGCATAACACGAGAGTCAGAATACAGTGCTTAAGGTTAAGTGGATTAATAACTAAGGAAGAAGCAGTGTCTTTTGCACAATATTGTAATGCGAAACTTAGTGGACAGAAGAGGAAGACTTGGTTTCTATCAGCTTCCTTGTGCCAACAATATTGAAACCAAACCTGTCAACAGTGTTGAAAGGTTACAGCATAAATACAACAGCATAAATAAAAGTTGAGTGATTAATATACTTAAAACACTGAGTCTGAGTAGGACCTATAAATCACCCACCTTCAAATGGAATTTTGAGCGTTTCAGTCAAAATGGGAATAGTCTGGTCATTTAAAAAAAAACAGTGGTGGTAGGGTGCTATTAGGAAATCAGGTCAAATTCAGAGTGTTCTCTGCAAACATCTCACCTTCTCCTACCTAAATCGGAGTCATTTCTCAGCATGTATGAAATACTGTCTTTCAGCATTCATGGGACTCTGTCATCTAGAGATGGCAATAAGAAGCAATAACTAAATTTAAGCATCTTTGCAGTTTGACAGCATAGTTGGCAGGTGATCTAGGCCACTCAATCTGTCAAGCCTATCCATTTATCAAGTCCACATAAGGCATGAAAAAAGCGATGTGAACATAGCCCTTGTAAATTTTCTTACAGATTTATTGTTTTGAGTACTAAATAAATGTTTAAAAGGTCATTAAATTGATTATTTGCAGACAAGACTTTTTCTGAAGCTATGAAAGTGCATCAAAAATTCTTAATAACTTTGCCTGGTCTCACTGTGACAGTCTTTCTATAGTAAAGTAAAAGGTATAACAGTATCATGCTTTTTCATCAGCAAAAATAAATAACTTGAGTCCAAAGAGCATCTGGCCCAGCCATACACAGGCATCTCATATCCTGTGTCAGCTTCAACAAGTGTAACTATATGGTTTTGAAAAACATCTTCAAGAGGATGATGTGCTACATAATGTGTTGTATATACAGTTTACTTTGTAAATTTTACAAAACTTTCAAGCAGATCATTCTAAATTTAGGTCATGTATTTGACAGCATGTCTTCCATTTTGATTAATAGGCACCACAAGGCCACATAAGGAGGGGGAGGTCCCTGGTGTGGACTATATTTTCATCACTGTTGAAGATTTTATGGAATTGGAGAAGAGTGGTGCTCTCTTAGAAAGTGGAACATATGAAGGTAAGTATACTTCTACAGCTAAATCTGTCACTTCTTTCTATTATGCTTCCTTTCCTATATGAAGGTATTATGTTGAGACATATTATCATATTGTTTCATTGCTACTGATACTGCAAATTTGTGAAGAATCCTATGGTAACAATGAAAATATTTATGTATGTGAAATCTAAATGCAGGTGAGTGCATTACAATTTTAGAATATGATACCACTTAAGAGAAACAGTATAATACATTGCAATTACAGGAAAGAAACAGTAGTTCTTCATGTCAAAGACTTGAAGATATTTCCACAAAATTTAAGCTATCGACTGCATTTTTAACATAGGATAAATAAATTCTGGAACAGAAATCAATTGTAAGTATGACACTTATTTGCATATGAGATCCTGCAAACATAAGTGCATGTCAGAGGTTGAAACAAGAAGGGTTTGCAATGACATACCTAATGGGCTTTATAAAGTTATTGGAAGTAATTGATTAGTTTCATTAATATTACAGAAGGGTAGGAGCTGTCCTAATGGCTGTGCTAGAAAATATTTCTACATGGGGCAAAGATCCAGCAGTTTCGTACAGATCAGGGCTTTTTAGATGTGATGACTTATCTGAATCACACAGAATCACAGCATGGCCCAGGTTGAAAGGGACCTCAAGGATCAAGAATCTCCAACTCCCTGCCACAAGCAGGGCCACCAACCTCCACATTCAGTAGACCAGGCTGCCCAGGGCCCCATCCAATCTGGCCTTGAACACCTCCAGGGACAGGGCATCCACAACCTCTCTGGGCAGCCTGTTCCAGCACCTCACCACTCTCTCTGTAAAGAACTTCCCCCTGACACCCAACCTAAATCTTTTCCCCTCCTTTTAAAACCATTTCCCCTTGTCCTGCAGTTATTTACCCTTTCAAAGAGTTGTCTCCCCTCCTGTTCGTAGGCTCCCTTTACGCACTGAAAGGCTGCAAAAAAGTCACCCTGCAGCCTTCTTTTCTCCAGGCTGAACAAGCCCAGCTCCCTCAGCTTGTCTTTGTAGGGTAGGTGCTCCAGCTGCCTGATCATCTTTGTGGCTCTCCCCTGGACCCTCTCCAACAGCTCCCTGTCTTTCTTGTACTGAGGGCTCCAGACCTGGACACAGTACTCCAGATGCCTCAAAAGGGCAGAGTAGAGAGGGCCAATCACCTTCCTGCCCCTGCTGGCCACCCCATCTGATTTCAAATTTTTCCCAAAACAATTATCCTGACAGTGAAACTGCCACAGACAGCACAGCAGTTACGTAGCAGAGCACTTAAATAAATTCAGGATTATGCTACACTATTTTAAACATTGTGTTTCTTTTGATTGATTACTCTAGTATTTAAAGTAGCTTAATAATGGACAGATCATTTAATCTTCAATTTTGAAAGCAAAATATCCAGAAACACTTTTCTTGTGAAAAATGACCTGTACATATAAGAATACATGTGCGAGTAGAACCACTTTCAGGAAGCAGGCCTGTATTTTTACCTTGTAGGAGATAAAGCAATGAAGACTTTTTTGTCCTGACTTTGTACCTGTCAATGAAAGCATCTGGAGATAAATAAGGAGCCATTCACCCCAAAGAAAATCATTATCTATGTTATAAATAGCAGAAAGTGCAATCCTTTCCCACCTAATCAGCACAAAGTACCCACTGGAAAGTAAATAAATTTTCATAAAGAGTTATATCAATACAGAAATTGTAGCATAGATTTCCATTAAAGAAGGTTGAATAAAGGAAAATACATCTTCTTTTCCTCTACTATTTTTCCTTACTGTCTGACATCTAATGGTAGAAGTTACATAAATATTAATAGATATATAACACCACAATTTTATGTTCGTCTTACATTCATTAAGTAACAAGCCTTTCTTGAAGTACTTTTTGTTACCTGGTGTTTGAAGCTAACATAAAAGAAGCTTAAGTGCAGTCTGTCTTTGCTTGACCATGTAATTTCATTAGTTTGTAGCAAGTTTGTGGAGATTGAACTGCTAGGTTAGATTAATTTACAATGGTGTTCTGTCCCTCAAGGATACTGAGAGGTGTCTTAATACCAGTTATCAGAGCTGAGTGGACAGCAAGGTGAAATACTGGTTGTAGAAGTCAGTGTAAGTCCTTAAGCCAAATGAGGACCTAGCCAAAGTCATGACTACACAGTGTTTATCAGAGATGACAAGTGCACTGAACTTAACAAGTCAGAAACTAAATGAAGACCAAAATAAGCTCAGCTGATCAATTTCTGCAAAAATTATCTCTTTGACCAATTTCCAGGTTTCCCAGTGAGTAAACACATTCTGACAAATAATAGATAATATAATACCCTTCTATCTATTACAATAAATAATTGATACCATATTCTAAAACACATCTGGTTTGCAGATGCTGCTTTTCTTGCTCTCATACAGAAACTTCCATCCAGGGCCTTAAGTTATAACTGTAGTACCTTCTTCACAAAGGAATTTTGCTATTTATTCAGTCGCAAGTTTCCTGAGCACATTAAGCCTTCAGCGATTAATTTTACGGCTGACAATCACACCAACCAGAGCAAAGAAATTTTCCATTCCCCCTACCAAATCATGATGAATTTTGCTTCCTTTCAACTTACATATGTGTGTTCTGGGAACTGGATTTTCTTTCCTTATCAACGCTTACTATCAGGCCTTTGAAATCAGTCTCAAAAAATCTTTTAAATGATTATCTATTAATAAGCTATTTTTCAGATTTTTTATCTTGATGAGATTGTTCTGTATTTAGCGAAGTTTCTAGAGTGCAGCTGATCCACCACCTGGTGCTGATATTTTTTTTCCAACGTGACTGCAGTCATAGAATCACAGAATTGTTGGAGTTGGGAAGGACCTTTTCAAGGTCATCTGGTCCAACTCCCCTGCAATGAACAGTGATATCTCCAATTAGATCAGGTTGATCAAAGCCCCAGCCTGACCTTGGATGTCTCCAGTGATGGGAAATACTTCTTTGGCAACCTGTTCCAGTGCCTCACCACCATTATTGTGTAAAATAAAATCCAAATCCTAAAGATTTCACTATGCGTCTATTTAGTAGAACTCCAATTTCCTGTACTGATTAAAAAGGAATTCTGATCTGGCATAGAATGGTAACCTCAATGGGAATATAACTTAGTTTTTGACACAGATATTGATATAAGGTAAAATACCCGTATTTTTGTACCAGAGGAGGAATTATTCCTCTGTAGAGAAAAAGCCACCTGCTTATATTATGAATATTATGAATGGTGTTGCACAGGAGGACAACACCCAGCAAAATAATCCACACTCATTTTTCCTAACCCTGAGATGAATGTCCTGTATGCACATAGTCATAGATGATCTTTGAATTGGCACAGTATGTACAAATCAATAAAATATATAATAGCAAAGCTGTAAGAAAAAAGACAAACTGTGTGCATCTTTTAGCATTGTCTTTTACCATTCCTACAGTAGAAGGGTTTGCTTGTTATACTGTCACTGCTCTGATGTGTCACATCTTGTGTAGAGACTTACTTCATGGATCGCTGACTTCATAGGTGCTTCCTACTTCCCTACTGTATCAGGAGAATTTCTCAGTCAGAGCAGCATTTCAGTAAACTGAAAATGTGCTTGAAATGTATGTGGGTTGCTCTAAAAGTAATGCCTCCTAATTACTTCTATGGAATCTATAACAACTGCAAAGAATACAATACCACTATTTGATGGTGTTTTGCAGCTGAAAATTTGCTTTATTTTTCAGCATAGTCACTACCATCAGCTATGCATTTTTGCCAGCAGTGAGCAAAAGCCTACCTGCTGTGTTCATAAATATCTGCACCAAGGGAGGTGACCTGTGGCATGGCATCATTGACAGAAAAATGTTGCCAATGCTGTCCATCTTTCAACAGTTGGAATAGATGGAATTCACAAGGCAATAAATCTAGACTATACAGTAGGTGTATAGTCTAGTATATAGTATAGTAGGTGTATAGGACAGTCCAGACAAGACTGACCACGTGCTTCACAGTCTTCAAACTGGTATGGTGTCCAGTGTTGTTATGCTGCAAGAAATATGTTATCTTTTTCACTGGCCTGACTCTGGAAGTTTGAGCCTTCAGCTTAGTCAGCAACGCTATGTAGTGGTCGGAGTTGATAGGAGATCCAGAGGATCACCTCTTTCTTATCCCAAAAGACATTATACATCACCTATACTCACTGAGGACTGTGTCATAAACTTTGATGGAGAATTCACATGTTGCAATTCCGTGGACTGTTGTTTTGACTCCCACTTGTAGTGGTGACACCGTGTCTTCTCACCAGTAATCATGTGATCCAGGAAACTCACCTTCAGCCTTATATTGGTTCAGTAGGTCCCAACGTACTTGCATATAGTGTTCTTTCTGTTCCAGTGTGAGCATTCACGAGACCCGCATGGTGCAAACTTTGCAACATTCTGACATTGCCACCATTGTTTTCAGTGTACTGAAGCTGATATTAGGTCTATATGCAGTTCCCTAGTTATAATCTGCCAATTTGTGGGAATAAGCTGATTGAGACACTTCATTTTGTGGCATGACAGCTGTGCACAGCTGTTTGGAACATGGCTTTTCTTCACATCACTGTTGACACTGCTGAAATGCACTACCCACTGCCTCATTTTTGATACCTGGAGAGTGTTTGATCTCCTTAAGTATTCAGAAAGCATCCCTGAATGTCAGTGGGTGCCTATTTTTCTGCATGGAGGAATTCAGTGACACACCTTTGCTTCATCTGCATTTCCATGTCAGACATCATTTTATCAGACTGCCCCTCTGATGCCATCTTATGCACAGTAACAAAATGTAATGAAATACTGATGGAAAGGGTCAACTTCTACTGCTGTACCATCAACATCTGCCTCTGATGTAGTGGGCCAATGTAGTAGGAGGCACTGCTTTCAGAGCAACCCTTGTATATTGGGTAAGAATGCCAGTGCTCATAAACAGAAATGTAACAGTTTCAGTACTA